TAAAAAGAACTTCTAAATGTATCCTTACTTCACCAATATTGAGATAAATATCTGTGTTGGTTATTTTTAAATATATTAAGGAAAATGATGTTAAATGTATTTGTGTATTTCTAATTATTTTTTAATGCAGAAAGCAAAGTTGAATATGAAAGACAGGTAAAATTTTTATTTTCTTGCATAGTAGAAAGAAATTAGGGAGATATGAGGAAATAGTTCCACTCTAGAAGAATCAAAATTTCACAGGATATCTCGAGACTCAAAGCTTTGGTTCCTCTAGGACAGGAATTGGGGAACGACTGCCTGTTTTTGTAAATTAAGTTTTATTGGGACACACCCACATGGACTCATTTACATATTTCTGTCTTTGGCTGTTTTCGCCCTACAGCATCAGAGTCCAGCAGCTGCTACATAAACCGCATGGCCCTCAATGCCCAAGGTGTTTACTAGCTGGCCCCTTTCAGGAAAAGTTTGCTCAACTCTGCCCTTGAATAGCAAGAAAAATATTCAGTAATGTTTAACTTTCTTTTCTTATTTTAAAGAACAAGTTGGGCAATGATTTGATGTTAAAATAAATCTCATTTTTTCTTTTCATATATAAAGAAAAAAATGTTAAATCAGTGTTTAAATAGAACATTGTTTTGAACCTAAATTTCTGTATGCTTGAGTGTACATAGGCAAAAAACAATAGCTTTGCTAATTCTTAGGAAACGGTTTTACTCCACTCTAAATTTTTTAATAATTATAACATTAAAATGTAAGACATATTCTGAACCTTAACAACTATCTAAACCTTTTAAATAAAGAATAGCCCTGCTGGTGTGGCTCAGCTAGTTGAGCATGGTCCCGAACACTGAAAGGCTGCCAGTTTAATTCCCAGTCAGGGCTCTGGCTTTGGGTTGCATTCCCTGGCTGGGGTGCCTGCAGGAGACAACTGATCAGTGTTTCTCTCTCACATCAATATTTCTTCCCCTCTTTCCCTCCCTCCCTCTCCCTTCCTCTCACTCTAAAATCAATTTTTAAAAAAGTCTATTGATACTAATTTTTTGAAAAAATAAACTAGTTTAACAAAAGAAGAAATACATTTCTATTCATTTCCAATTTTATGCTAGTCAACTAGTTAACATTTTTCAAAAACATTACTGTATCTCACAAAGTAAACATTAAAATAATAAATTTTGTGTGTGACATGTAAAATCTTGCTTGGCTTCATAATAAAATATAAGCTCATTTATACAATGTGGTAGATGTATGCACATACACAAATGAATGGCTGAAAGTTAGAAGCTTTTATTACTCATATTCAAAACATATCTTATTGAATGTCAAAGTGCATTTTTATATAAGTTTAAGCTTTAAAGCAGTGATGATGTTTATGCAAAACCAAAAGTGCAACATGCCCTTGTATACAAACTGTAAGTGCCGCTCACTTACATTGTTGACAGATTTATGCAAAGCTTCACCCAGAGAGTGCCGCTATGAAGAAAAGATCACAGGAATAAAGAGAAACATTCAGAAATCAACTAAGTGAAAGAAAGAGAGGGTAAAAGGGAGAGTAAAGCACAGAACATTAATTATAATATACTCAAGAAAAAATAAGTTGAAAACAGTTCTGAAGAAGAAATCAGACAAAAAGAAATTTAAGACTTACAGTCTAAATTATCTGTAGTCTTTTAAAACAGAGTCTGATGTTTGTGGGCCGGCAGACTTACCTATGCAAAATACCAAAGGCCAGTACATATAAATCAGAGTCCAGTTTAAAAGATGGTAGTTACTGCCCGGCTGGGTGTGACTCAGCAGCTGAGCATTGACCTAGGATCCAGGAGATCATGGTTTGATTCCCGTTCTGGGCACATGCCCAGGTTTCGGGCTCGATCCCCAGTAGGGGGCGTGCAGGAGGCAGCTGATCAATGACTCTCATCATTGATGTTTCTCTCTCTCTCCCTTCCTCTCTCTGAAATCAATAAAGAAATTAAAAAAAAAAAAAAAGATGATGGTTACTGAAGGACCTAGAAGGCATATCACTGCCCTAAATTCCTCCCAGAAGTCTACAATCTATTGCTTCAAAGTATTACACTCAGTATTAATGTTGGTTCATGAAAGACTTCTCTTAAGAGAAATGAGCAGATGAGAAGGGAGCACTAACTTGACTGACTACATGATTTTGGGGCCAGAAAATAAATAAGAGATAAGCATTGAAAAATGTGAAGACTCACTATAACCTGGTTTAGTACTGGGGGAAAAAAAAAAAAGATGCATTCATATCTTTTTGATCCTATTATCTAGGACATATTTGGAAAAGTTATTTATGACCTGGGTTCCTTTTTCAGAAGCTCACTGATATTTTGAGTGATAAACCACTGGGAAAACCACTAGGCACTCTCCCTCCCCCCAAATATGAAAAACAAATGTGATTTCTGTTTTAACTACTTTACTTTTTTGCCCTCCAAAAATACAAAATAACATTTAAAATTTTTATTACTAATATAAATAGAAAAGTTCCTGTAAAATGGTGTTGACTTTGGGCAATAATCAAATTTTCAGACAGAACAGAATTATCTTTTTCCATAATGTGATTATTCCTTGGCCTGTCCCAATGTAAAGCCAGGTTTAATTTGGTAGACAATTTTTTACTAATAACTTAGACTAACATATTCTAGGGTAGAGTTTACTAGAGTTGAAAAAAATAAGTTGAGAAAAAAGATTAACTTTCTATTTGATTACTCCACGACTTCTCAATCTAAACTTCCTCACACTTTTATACATATTAAGCTTATTAATTTTATTTTTTACTTTTTTCCTATTCTTTCTTATACTATTAATATTCTTTATATACTAATGAGACACTTAACTTCTCTAGATTGCATAAAACTTAAGAAAAGCTGAGGGATTTTTAATTATAGTTTTTTACCTTTTTGTAGTTGTCAGAACTGACGTCCTAGTACTAGAAGTTAATCTAAAATGTATGGCATTTGCTTATGAAGTAGATTTTACTTTTCACTCTTAAATTTATCACAATACAAAAATATGTGTGTTGTTGGGGATTCCTGAATGAACTGAAAAACTAACCAACATAACAAATCAGAGTGGAATGCCAGGTGTTCCCTTAGGGATTTTAGACTTTCTACAGCTGAAGAATACTTGAGTCTAAACTCAAATGGCAACCACCTCTGTCAACATATTGTTGCAGGCCATGGAATTACCTAAACCAAAAGGAATGGTCCCTAAGCTGTGACCTGGGTGACTTACCTCACAATCAGGAAAGGCACAACTAGTGCTGTTGGGTGGCAATACCGTTATTGGTTAATACATAAATGAAGTATTCATTTTATTACTCATTTAAAAAACATTATAGTACTACTATATTCCAGGAAATGTCATAAGCAGAGTGAGATAGATGACTGAATAACATCGTAAAACAAAAACACACAAAAAACAAGAAAAAAAGTTCATGATAAATATTATTTAAAAAAAGAAATTTGCTGTAATAGGAAATGACTGGAGGCGATACTGGGTTGATGGCAAAGACAGATGTTTTGAAAGAAGTGACATTTAACTGGGAATGAATGAAGGAGCCAGCACAAAATGAGATGATCTTGGGGAAGAGCACAAACACCCTGAGGTGGAAGTAAGCTCAGAGTAACTGAGCACGTGCCTGTGGGG